TGACGAGGCTGCTCGCTCCTCTGCAGGTGCTGCTCCGTATCTGAAGACCAAGTTCATCTGTGTCACCCCGTGAGTGTTCCTGGGGGTGCCTGAGGGTGCTGGGGGGCATCTGTGTGCTCAGCCTCACTTGAGGGGGGGCTTCCTTCCCACCTCTGCCTGGGCAAGGGCAGGCAGCGGGGGCCGAGCCAGGCTCCGGCTCGTTGCCCTATAACCGCAGGCCCGTCCTTCCCCTCCTGGGGCCCCTTTCCTCTGGAGAGCCCTTGGGATGGCTGTGCCGTGCCCGGGGGCCCGGTGGGGGGAAGAGGGGATGTCGGAGAGCTCTGGCCAGGCCCTGATTCCAGAGGTTTCTGTGCTTTTCCCTTCCTCCCTCGGGCAGCACCTCCTTCAGCAACACCATCGACCTGCCCATGTCCCCGCGCACCCTGGACTCGCTCATGCAGTTTGGCAACAGCAGCGAGGGAGCGGAGGCCAATGCAGGAGGGCAGTTCGGTGAGTCTGGTGGGACGCGGCGCCCGAGGGGTCCTGGCTGTAGCCACGCACGGGCCCTGTAACCTCTGGCTGTCCCCCTGCAGAGTCACTGACCTTCGACATGGAGCTGACCCCGGAGTGTGCTTCTTCACCGATGTGAGGTGCTCCGCCGGCGCCCGCGGGACTCAGGCTTGCCGCCTCCAAAGAGCTCCCCCAGTCTCGCCCTGCTCGAGAGGTCATGGTTGCTCTGGGCCTTTCCTCAGGAGGAGCTGGGGGCCCGGGGTCCTTGCCACCGATTCCTCGTTTGACCCAAACACACACCCCCCTCTCCAGGGTGGTGCCGTTCGTCTCTGGGGGGAGGGGGAGTGAACCTTTTTCTATTTCCTTCCATAACGGTTTTTTATTCTTTGTTTTGCTCATTCAAGTGCCTATTAGCCTCCCATCACGGCCTGTTTTTACAAACGCTTCTGCAGTCCCAGTTGTGCTGCCTGCTGTTGAAAGCTGCTTTTCTGACTGCTGGAGTCCAGAAGCGCCCGTGAAGATCTTACAAGCCCAGATTTGCCTCCGGGCGCCTGAGAGGGGATCAGCCGGTCCTGGCCTCCGCACGGGTTACCTGATGCGCTGTGCAGCGGGGGCCTGCGCTGCTGCCGCCCCAGCAGCCCTCGCAGAGGGCTCTGCTCTCTGCGCTTTTGGCCAGGAGGACTAGCATGCGGCTCAGCGCTGCGAGGCGGATGGGCCCAGGCGCTCCTGTCCTGCGAGGGCGATGCTTCTGCTGGGCTCAGCCTGGGCTTTGCTGGGAGCAGGGGCTTCTGGTGGCTGCCTGTGCTTGCCAGCAGCTTCCTGCTGCGGGTGCAGGGATCCGGCTGGCTCCAGCAGCCCCAGGGCTCCTGCTGGGACGACTGGTTTCCCTGCAGTGCAAAGTCTGCGCTGGGGCAGTGATGTGTCCCGACACCGATGTATGCTTGTGAGCATGTGGCATTTGCATCGTGGGTCTGTTTTGGGATCTGGGCATAACCACAGAGGCTGCCCTGACTGTGGCTCGCCCTGTGGCCAGGCTAGTAACAGGACTAGTGACTCCCTCGGCGTGCAGAGTAAGACCCGTTGGACCCCAGGGGGAGGAAGGGAGGCTGCTGGCTCCAACACGACCTGCAGTGGATGGCCTGGCCTGGCTCTCTTCCCTCTGGTATGGCTTGTCATGTGCTAGGCAGGGGGTTTGCAGCTTTTCAGGGGCTTTGCGTGGCATTTTTTTTTTGTTGGACATCAGCTGTCACTGTTAAGGTAGGAGGTGGCAAGAGTTGAAGGGAGCAGGATGTGCGTAAGGAGAGGAATCCGCTGTTGGCCAGCGTTTGATGGAGATGTGGGTGTTGCAGAGGGCAGGTTTCCTTGCCTGGGGGGGGGTCAAGGAAAGGTGGAAGCGGTGCTGGCCGGGGGTTGTCGTTCTGTATTTACCAACATGGGGGGGACCCCTCCTGCCCTTTCCATGCAGTGGGCGTGCAGACACTGATGAGCAAGGACAGAGGAAGAGAGGCAGCGGGGGAGGGGCCTGGGCCCCCCAGCGTCTGGGAGCC